CTAGACTATAGACTAGACTATAGACTAGACCTATAGACTAGACTATAGACTAGACTATAGATTAGACTATATACTAGACTATAGTCTAGACTATAGACTAGACTATAGTCTAGACTATAGACTAGACCATAGACTAGACTATAGACTATTCTATAGACTAGACTATAGACTAGACTATAGACTACTATAGACTAGACTATAGAGTAGACTATACTAGACTATACTATACTATAGACTACTATAGAACTAGACTATAGAACTAGACTATACTATACTATAGACTAGACTATAGACTAGACTATAGACTATACTGACTAGAACTAGACTATAGACTATACTAGACTAGACTAGACTATAGACTAGACTATACTAGACTATAGACTATAGACATATAGACTAGACTAAGACTAGACTATACTAGACTATAGACTAGACTATAGACTAGACTAATAGACTAGACTAGACTATACTATAGACTATCTATGACTAGACTAGACATAGACTGACTATAGACTTAGACTATAGAATTAGACATAGACTAGTACTATAGACTAGACTACGACTAGGCTATAGCAGACTATAGACTAGACTAGATACTAGACTAGTAGACTAGACTATAGACTGACTATAGACTATAGATAGACTATAGACTAGACTAGATAGGGATCTAAGACTAGACTAAGACTAGACTATAGACTAGACTATAGACTAGATTATCAGAATAGACTATAGATTAGACTATAGACTAGACTATAGCCTAGACTATAGACTAGAATAGACTAGAATATACATTTGACTATAATTTGACCAATCGACTGGATTTATGCCTAGGCTATTGCTTTTGACAAAACACTAGACCTTAGACTTGACTATCGACTAGACTATAGACTTGACTACAGACTATTACTATATACACAGACTATGGAGTATACTATAGACTAGACTAGAGACTAGATTACAGACTATAGACCTGATGATATCCCAGATTATACAGAATATACTGTTAAGTCTATAGCCTATTGTCTCTTTTATAATCTTTTCTATCTGCCTATGTGGAATATCCTTTTCTTAATACTTAAAGTCAAAACACAATTTTTAAAATTACTTCATTTGTTTTCTCTTAATTTATTGTTCAAACTCAATTACATATTTATTTAATTTTCCTTAAAAACGTTGACGTGGTCCATTAAAATCTGGTTGTATGGGTCTTTGAGGTGGTAAAGTTTGTGGTCTGCCAGGTCTTAAACTGCTACCGCCATTACTGCCATGAGGTCTCCAGTCAGCACTAACCAATGAAGAGGCCAAAGCTAATAAAGCAAAGGCTACGAGGATAAGATTTTTATAGATTTGCATGATGTATAGGATTTTTACTTTCACACTTTCAAAACTGTAGACGGCTTATGAATGTTGTAGGTTTGAAAATATACATCTGCTTTTATACTCTCGAATAAAAGAAAGATATTCTTATCATTTTCTAGACTTGAAAGAAATAGGTACAAGACTCATTTGTGTGAATCACCTTGTCTTTATCATCTTGCGGCTGTAGAGTAGATCCCACAAAAATATAGACAAGGGGATTTTTTAAATTTAAAAAAAAAAAATAAATACTGTAGATAAATTTACTTTTATTGATTGCCCGATTTTAAAGAATTTAAGGAACATGTTAGACCAACTGCGTTGAAAAGAGGATTAGCGGAATTCTAGAGATCTGTTACTCTTAAAATACAGGTCAGTTGAGAAATATTAAAGAAGACTATAGGTTTGACAATACATTAGATTATAGACTAGACTATAGATTATACTCATTTAGACTAGGCTATAGACTAGACTATAGAATAGACTATAGACCAGACTATAGACTAGACTATAGACCAGACTATAGACTAGACTATAGACCAGGCTATAGACTAGACTATAGACCAGACTATAGACTAGACTATAGACCAGACTATAGACTAGACTATAGATTATACTCATTTAGACTAGGCTGGATTATTTTAATAATTAAAAATCGATTTCTTTTTTTAAATAATTATTTTTATTTTTTTATTTTTATAACTATATTTTTCTTTTATTTTTAATAAACATTTAAAGTTTTTTTATTTTAAATATATATATTTTTTGTTTTGTTTTTGTATATTATATTTATAGTTATTAATAATAATTTAAATGTAAATAATATCAATTTGTTGCTATTTATCAATCAATGATCTATGTTGTTTACTTTTTTGCATTTTTTTTTTTTTTTGTTTAAAATATTTGGTTTCAATTTTTAAACTAAAAAAACATTTTTCATATAAATTTTTCATTTATATATTATAAATTCTTTTGCATAAACATATATAAAATAATTTTATCTTAACAATGAACCATAAGTTGCAAATTTCGTTTGCGGTTTTTAAAGATTTTTTTTTCAAACATTTTCAGATTAAAGTTGAACTTAAAGGGGATTTTGAAATAGTTTAGTATTTTCTTAATAAATTATTATTTATATATGAATTATTTTGTTTTTTTTTTCTGTCTATATAATATATTTATAACTTTAATTTGTAGTTTAAACATATATTTAATATTTTTTTTTGTATTTTATAAATATTTATATTTTTTATTTATATATAACATTAAAAATATTTGATTACTATGAGGCGGATTTTCATAATATCAATTTGTTGTTTTAAGTGAGCGCAGTTGGTGAAATGTCTTTAATATTTTATAAAAAACTTAGATTTTTTTAAGAATTTTTATAGAAAATTGTTTAAAAACTTTCTTTTAGAAATGTATTTTGAAAAAACTTTCAAATTACTTTCCTATAATCTAAAAAACTCTTAGACATTTTATGGTTTTCTACGCTCATTTACAATTTAGTAACATTTGGTTATATTTTTCTCAGTGTAATTTTATTCTCTTTATGTTTTATGTACGAATATGCTTTTATTTTTAATCTTTGGTATGTTTAATTTTATGTAGTTTTTATATATGTATTTATATTTTATATGTATTATGTTTTTATGTACGTATGTTTATGTATGTGCATTATATATATTTATGCTAACGGTTTTTTTTTTCAAATGTAAATAGAATATTTATAAAAAGGTACAATACTAAGGTATGTTGTTGTTTTTTGTGAACTCAGCGGGAAAGAAAAACTAGGAACAAATAACTTTCAGAAGGTCTTGAAACCTACTAGATCCTTTGCAAATATAATGATAAATAGTTACAATTCAAGTTGAACTTTGACATCGTTGTCATCACTGTGACAGTGATGCCACCCTAAATCTCAGGCGTTAGTGTGACATTAAATTTTTTGGCATCACATTGCCGCATCATTAAAATTAACTAAGAAAATCACGATGGAGTGAAAATATTCGATTTTTAACCGTTTTTGACCCGTTTTTCGTCATACTTTAGACGTAAAGACTATAAACTGATCTAAAGTCTGATCTATTGGCCAAAATTTTGAATCTATAGTCAAGATGAGAGATTGATCTATAACCAAGACTATAGATTGATCTATTTGGAAGACTATAGACTGATCTATAGCCAAGACTACGGATTGTTTTATAGATAAGATTGTAGAATGATCTATAAAATAGTGTTGTGAATATTTCAAGAGAATATTAGAATCACAAAACTGAAATCCTTAGAAATAAATAAAATTTTTTTAAATTATTTCCCGCTGGGTCCATAAATAATAGAATATAAAAGGTGTTAGTATGTATATGAATATGTTTTTGTTGTTTCTGATATATGTATGTGTTATATATTATAATCTGATCCATAGTCAAGACTATATAGCGATCTATAGTCAAAACTGTAGATTGAACCATAGACTGACTAATAGTCGATACAATAGACTGATCTATACCAGACTATTGACTGATCTATAGACCAGACTATTGAATAATCTATAGTCAAGACTATAGACTAATCTATAGTCCAGACTATAGAATAATCTGTAGTCAAGACTATAGACTAATCTGTAGTCAAGACTATAGACTAATCTGTAGTCAAGACTGTAGACTAATCTGTAGTCGAGACTATAGACTAATCTGTAGTCAAGGCTATAGACTGATCTATAGTCAAGGCTATAGACTGATCTATAGTCAAGACTATAGACCGATCTATTGTCAAGTCTAATTTACAGTCAGGACTATAGACTGATATATAGTTTAGACTATATACTGATCTATAGTCGGGACTATAGACTGATCTATAGTCAAGATTATAGACTGATCTATATTTAAGATGTATAGTCAAGACTATAGACTGATCTATAGTCAAGACTAAAGACTGATCTATAGTCAAGACTATAGACTAATCGATAGTCAAGACTATGGACTGATCTATAGTCAAGAATAGGCTGATCTATTGTCAAGACAATAGACTGATCTATAGTCAGGACTATAGACTGATATATAGTTAAGACTATAGACTGATCTATAGTCAGGACTATAGACTGATCTATAGTCAAGATTAAAGACTGATCTATAGCCAAGACAATAGACTAATCCATAGTCCAGACTATAGACTGATCCATAGTCAAGACTATAGACTGATCCATAGTCAAGACTATAGACTGATTCATAGTCAAGACTATAGACTGATCTATAGTCAAGACTATAGACTGGTCTTTTATCAAGACTATAGACTGATCTGTAGTCAAGACTATAGACTCATCTATAGTTAAGACTATAGACTGAACTATAGTTAAGACTATAGACTGATCTATTGTCAAGACTATAGATCAGTATATAGTCAAGACTTTAGACTGAACTATAGTCAAGACTATAGACTGATCTATATTCAAGTCTATAGACTGATATATTGTCAAGACTATATACTGATCTATAGTCAAGACTGCATACTGATCTATAGTCAGGACTGTAGACTGATCTAAAGTCAGGACTATAGACTGATCTATAGTCAGGACTATAGAATGATCTATACTCAGGACTATAGACTGATGTATAGTCAAGACTATAGACTGATCTATAGTCAAGGCTATAGACTGACCTGTGGTCAAGACTATTGTGTGATCTATAGTCAAGACTATAAGACTGATCTATGGTCAAGACTATAAGACTGATCTATGGTCAAGACTATAAGACTGATCTATGGTCAAGACTAACATTGATCTATTCTTGAGATTTTAAACATATCCTTGACTATATTTCAGTCTTTATTTAGACTATAAGTTGGTCTATGGCATGGACTATAGATCGGTTTATGGTCCAGAATATCTAAAGTCAAGACTATAGACTTCATATATGAATGTATATTATATTGGAGTATATGTATATATAGACTTCAGTAAAACCTTTGATAACAAGTAATATACCGAAAAAATAATGCATAAAGCTGATAACTTCAACGGACGGCAAAGTAGTATAAATATAGAACAAAATTACTTGGGATTTTTATAAATTTAGTAAAAATAATCCATTTGATTTAAAAGCTTAAAAATTTTGAAAAAAAATTATATAAAAATATATAAAAATTCTCAAAATTAGGATTTTCTTAAAAAGATTTTGAAAAAGTTATTGTAAAATTGCTTAAAGGTGGTTAGATAAATTTGGTATTACAACTATAATATTGAAATGGTTAAAAATAGTTCAATATTCTTAGAATTGGACGTAATCGTATGTAATTTTAATACTTGTTATAAAAGTTTTACTGATAAGCCGTGAAAATAATAAATGTTGGACTTATTCTTTTTTAACCAACTAAATTTTTAATTTTAACTAAAATTATAATTTTTTTCGATTTTCTTTATAAATTTTGCATTTTACAATTTGTGTTTTTTTTTAGGTTAAGTTCTCTTTGGTATGATTATTTATTTGTTTTTATTTATTTATTGTTTATATATTAATACAATTTTATGGACCATTTGTTTTTATTTTTTCAAAGAAAATATTTAATATAATACATGTATTTAATGAGTTTTTTAATGAATATGGTTTGCTTTTCCTATATTTTTCAACATTCATTCCATTTTCATTGCTTTTTTCAAAAAAATTTAACTTAATTTTTAAGAAAATAAATTGCAATATAGGCAACTTAATAAAAACTAAAATTATATATATATTTTATTTTTAAATATTATAGGCCAATTTTTACGATATGTTTTAAGTAATTTATTTTATTTTAGTTTAATTTTATATATAAACAGTAGTGTGAATCCCTTTTTTGTGTTATATTGTTTGTAGTGTAATAAATTTTGTTAGTTACTGTACATAAGGTATTTTTGGTGATTGTTTCCATTACATTTGTTTACTTTTTGTTAAATATTTTCCGTTTATGGTTTATTTATATTGCATTTAACTAATAAAATTGCGTTCAGTGTATAAACAACGCCAAAGCTTCATTTTAAAGAAGGGAGTGGGCAAAAGAGAGGATTTACTAACAGGAGTTTAAAGTTATAAATACACAAACAATATTTCAACAGTTAGGTTTGACCACAATATTAAACAAGGTAGCCAGATTGGTGAAATTATAACCTCAACTTTAATGTTAAAATTGAAGTTTGTGTATTTTAAACTATTATAGGTTAGGGTTTATGGATCAAAACTTTGTTTATGTTTGAAAAAGATTTTCTATAAATTTAAACTCAAATTTGTCTATTTTAATTAAAAATTTTTGTTTATATTAAGCTTATTTAAAACTAAATTAAATTTAACTAAAATTATCTTTTTAATTTGAAGTAAATTAATCTATAAACTTTAAATTATTACTAAAACAACAAAATAATAACTAATTATTTCTATACGAACTTTTTTTTTGTACCTTCTACAATGATTGTGGGTTTTTTTTAATGACATTTTCTTTCTCAATGTGGAAAACTTTGTAAACTTTTTTATGTATTCTTGAGGTGATTTTTGAATAAAAAAAAAGCTTATTTACAAAGCTTTTGAAACTAGCAAGCTTTTAAGCTTTGTACCTTTTCGTTTTTTTTGTAAGTTTAAACTAGATTTTTCTGAGAAAACGAAGCCTAAGCTAAGAACTTTTCTTTAAATTTTAGTTGAAAACTATCTTACTCGGTTTTTTATGTTTTAATTACAAAATTTTGAAAGAATTTTTGTTCAGATGTCAACTGATACATTGTCAAGACTATGGACAAGGATGTAATAGAATGATTTATAGACACTATTCTATCCAGATTGATCTATAGTTAGAATATAGACTGATCTGTAGTCAAGACAATAGACTGATCTTTATTCCAGATTACAGACTGATGTCTAGATTATAGATTGATAGTGTGATCTATAGTCAAGACTATAGACTGATCTATAGTCAACACTATACACTGATCTATAGTCAAGACTATAGATGATCTATAGTCAAGACTATAAAGACGATAGACTGATGTATAGCCAAGACTACAGACTGATATATAGTCAAATCTATAGACTGTTCTATAGTCAAGAGTATAGACTGATCTGTAGTCAAGACTATAGACTGATCTATATTCAAGACTATAGACTGATCTATAGTCAATACTATAGACTGATCTATAGTCAAGATTATAGACTGATCTATAGTCACGACTATAGACTGATCTATAGACAAGACTATAGACTGATCTATAGTCAAGACTATATACTGATCCATAGTCAAGATTATAGACTGATCTATAGTCAAGACTATAAAGACGTTAGACTGATGTATAGCCAAGACTACAGACTGATATATAGTCAAGTCTATAGACTGTTCTATAGTCAATAGTATAGAGTGATCTGTAGTCAAGACTATAGACTGATCTATAGTCAAGACTATAGACTGATCTCTAGTCAATACTATAGACTGATCTATAGTCAAGACTATAGACTGATCTATAGTCACGACTATAGACTAATCTATAGACAAGACTATAGACTGATCCTATAGTCAATACCGTTCTATAGTTAAGATTACAGACTGATCTATAGTCAAGACTATAGATTGATCTATAGTCAAGATCAGATCAGTTTATAGTCAAGACTAAAGTCTATTATCAAGACTATATTCTAATCTAAAATCTGAACTATAGTTAGAAACTAAAGGCTTATGTATAATCGAAAAATTCTTCCAAAAAACTGTTAAATGCTGGAGCTTAATTTGTTCTTTTCCAAAAACAGTCATCTGATAAAAAAAATCAAACGAAAAACGGACGATAAACTTAAAATGTACCTGTTCAATAAACTTATTGGCTACCAAATGGATTACTGCCACCGGGTATATCCAAATTACCGCCACTGGTCTGATACGTGCCATAGGTATTACCAGTACCTCCATTAGGATTCATTTCATTAAGACGGGTATTGGATAGGGCGCGAGGTATAGGATTACTGGGAACACCATGTGGAGCCAAATGTGAAGTTTCCTCAGCCACCTGTAAAATAATGATAGCAATTAAGATAAATGAAATAGAATTCTATAACCACACACTCACCTGATGAGGATCCTCTGTGACGGGTATATCCGAAATAAAACCTTGTTCTTTACGATAAAAGTTGACAAATATAAACAAACCCAAGACAAACAGACAACAGATGCCATACCAACGGAAGGTATTCGTGGTGCCGTAGTATGTCACAAACATACCACCAATAATGGCACCACAGCCGCGACCTAAACCATGATGTATACCCTGTAGTACGCCCTGAGCCGAGGCTCTCAAGTGCTTGGGTGTATTATGAGCTATATACGAACAAGAGGCTGCCCAGACAGCAGCATGAGTGATACCCTGCATCAATTCGAAGGGCAATACCATCCAGGGATTGCTTATATAGGATATATACAGGAAACGTAAAACATTGCCTATTAAACCCAAACACAAGACCTTAACGTGGCCAATCTGGGTGATTAAACGGAAACTAAAGAAATAGGCGAATATTTCCGAGACATGATTAATAACCGAGGCTACACCGAATAAGGTGGGAGTACCGCCGAAATCTTGTAAATGCCAGAACAAGAAAGTAAATATCAAACCAATACCAAAGCCCATATACCAGGCTACAAACAGGAAAGAAGCAGTTTTAATATCCTTGAAGTAGGTAAACACAGTCATCCATTCTGGTAACTCTTTAGTAGTTTGGGCAAACAATTTCGATTCGGCACCAATATGAGGTTTGGGACCACCAGTACCGCCTCCCAAGAAACCACCACTGGCGGTAGTAGGACCCGCTGTGCCAGCGCCCACAGCCAATGAAGGTAAATTCAATTGGGCTGCCAATTGATTCATAGATTCCTCTTCAGCTTTCTTATTGGGATCGATAACATCTTGTGCGGTTTGTGTTTCCAATTCAATGGGTTCATATTTGAAGGTAATTTTCGAAGCGCAGATAATAGCTCCCGTCATGAGTACGGTGAATATAGCAAAACATACATTATAATTCTTTTCCATATGACCAGCACCACAGGGATGATGTGAAAACGAGGTGGAATGATCCAAAACAATACCCACTACAAACATAGAAATACCCCAACCCAAAGAGCCGAACATACGTTGATGCCCATATTTATCGGCATCATCACCTAAGAGGGTTATTACCGCCGAATCGGCTAGAGTGACGGCAGGGGCACTGAAGAATTCACCAATTAAAATAACCAATAATAGCAGGAAGAAAGCTTTTTGTATGTCCTGAAGAATAAACAATTAATAATATAATTAATTAGTATTTAACTGAGGCTTCATATTTCTTTGACCTTACCGGTGTTCGATAGACCATACTGGAAAATATGGGTGTTACATAGTCACTATGTTGTTTCTCATCATAGTTGCTTACAAAATTAATGTGTATGGGAGAGATTCCAGCATCAATATGAGGTATTAAGGAGCGTTTGCGTCTGTAAAGTTTTCAAAGGGAAATTTTTTGAAAATTTTGAAATGCAGAGTTTGATCTATATCCAATTTTTGAAATAGACTAAACTATTGTCGTGACTTTGGACTAATATATAGACCAAACTATTGACTATCCGGTAGTTCAGACTATAAACTAATCTAAAGTCCAGACTATAGAATAATCTATGGTCCAGATTATAAACATTCCTATAGTCCAGATTATAAACTTTTCTATGGTTCAGACTATATACTAATATATAGTCCAGACTACAGACTAATATATGGTCCAGGCTATAGATTATAGACTAATCTATAGTGCAGACTTTAGTCTAATCTATAGTGCAGATTTTAGTCTAATCTATAGTCCAGACTATAGACTAATCTATAGTCCAGACTATAGACTAATCTATAGTCCAGACTATGGACATTCCTATAGTCCAGACTATAGACCAATCTATAGTCCAGACTATAGACTAATCTATAGTCCAGACTATAGACTAATCTATAGTCCAAACTATAGACCAATCTATAGTCCAGACTGTATACTAATCTATAGTCTAGACTATAGACTAATCTATAGTCCAGACTATAGACTAATCTATAGTCCAGACTACGGACTAATCTATAGTCCAGACTATAGACTAATCTATAGTCCAGACTATAGACTAATCTACAGTCCAAACTATAGACTAATCTATAGTCCAGACTGTAGACTAATCTATAGTCCAGACTATAGACTAATCTATAGTCCAGACTATAGACTAATCTATAGTCCAGACTATAGACTAATCTATAGTCCAGACTATAGACTAATCTATAGTCCAGACTATAGACTAATCTATAGTCCAGACTATAGACTAACCTCTAGTCGAGACTATAGACTAATATATAGTTCAGATTATAGACTAATCTAATCAACTGTGTTTTGAATCTTCGTAAAACATAAACTCACCTTCTATGAGACTCTTCAGCGGCTTCATTAGCGGGCATGGTATTTGTACCAAGTAGGGCAGCATGATTATCTAAAAATTCTGCACTATCATCTCTCAAATTGGCCGAATTAAATGCAGACAAATCACGTTTGGTACGTGTATAGGTTAAAACGAAATCTGTTTGATTACGTTCCAGACATTTCACCGGTTCCGGTTTAATAAAACTCAAAGGTATGGTAAACAAAACCCAGCAGGCTAAAGAGCCCAACAATAAAACCTTGCCACGCCGGCATCTGTAAATTGGAAATTATAGATACAAACATTTTCCTAATTATTTAATCTCACCTATCCGCATAGGAACCCCAAAATGGAGCTGATAAGAATTCCACAAATGGTCGCATGCCTATAAGAATACCGCACTGGCCGGGATTCATGCCCATCTGTTTGAAATAGACACCCATCAGAGGGAAGAGCGAACCAAAGGCGGCGTAAAAGAAGAAATAAAAACCCTTAACGGGTATTAATTCATATTCGGTGGGTCCGAATAACATTTCAATAATATCCGAATGGCCACGGATTTTGTGAGTACCCTCTTTGGGTTCTGGATAACTATAAGAAAATAAAATTAAATAAAAATTTGCAAAAAAAATATGTAACAACTTACAGTGTTGGATCAACTTCTCCCTCAGCATCCACATCTACACGTGGTCTGGCTACAAAGGGTTGCTGTTGTCCCGGTATACCACCAACCGTACTCTGCCCATAACCTGTATCTTGTCCGTAAGTTGTATCTTGACCATAGCCTGTATCTTGTCCATAACCGGTAGCTGTTTGATCGTAACCATAACTGGACTGTTGTTGCTGTTCGTAGGGATTACCGCCACCTATCCCAGAGGGTGCCCCAAAGGGATTTGCACCTCCTCCAAATTGACTCATTTTGAAGAAGTTGTTATGTAAATGATTTCTGGTAGATTGGTTTTACAGACTTTCGAAATTTCGATGTAATTTGTTTCAATTGTTCTGTGTTAAAGGAAACTGAAAGAGGAAAGGAAGGAATGGGTGTTACAAAAGAAAGATATTCGACCAAATTAGACTACCAATTAGACTATAGATAATAGTTTAGACTACAGTCTAGACTATAGACTAAACTATAGTCCAACTATAGACTAGATTATAGTCTAAACTATAGACTAGAGCATAGTCCAGACTATATTAATGATTATAGAATAAACTAAACCTTAGTCCAAATATATACACTAGACTATTGTCCAGACTATAGACTAGACAATAGACTAGACTTTAGACTAGACTATAGACTAGACTAGACTATAGTCCAAACTATAAACTGGTCTATGGTAAAGAGTATAGACTATACTGTAGTCCAGATAGAATATAGGCTAAACTATAGTCCAGACAGACTATAGACTAAACTATAGTCAAGACTGAAGACTACACTATATCCAGGACTATATTCCTAACTGTAGACTAGATTATAGTCCAAACTATAGTCTTGACTATAGATTAGACTTCAGTCCAGACTACAGATAAGATAATAGTCCAGACTATAGCGTAAACTACAGCCCTAACTACAGACTAGATTGTAGACCTGGCTATAGTACAGACTATAGTCCAGACTATAGTCCAGACTATAAACCAGACTATAGTCCAGACAATAGTTCATACATTAGACCAGACTGTAGTTCAGACTGTAAACCAGAATATAGTCTAGACAATAGTTTATAAAATAGACCAGACTGTAGTTCAGACTATAGACCAGACTATAGTTCAGGTTATTGTCCAGACTATAGACTAAACTATAGGCCGCACTATAGACTAGACTATAGGCAAGACTATAGACCAGACTATAAACTGGACCATATTTTACAGATAATAGACTAAACAATAGTCCAGACTGTAGACTAGAGTATTGTCCAGACTACTGACTAAACTACAGTCCAAACTATAGACTAGATTATGGTCCTAACTATTGACTAGACCATTGTTCACACTATAGACTATAGACTATAGTCCATACTATAGTCTAAACTATACACTGTTTCAAGTATCGGCTGACTATCCAGCTGTTAATATGTAGTAAGTGTAAACCAAATGTTATTTTCAGTTTCATCAGGACATTAATAGAGTCGAAAGGCAGATATATTTTCGATCAATAGGGAGTTTGTAGATAAAGTTCTTTATAATTTGTATGATTTTGTCATGATGCATAAAAACCTATAATTTACAGATAAAATTTAATCTTAAAACTTTACGAAAAACTTTGACATTTAGTAAAAATTCAAAGACAGACAACAGACCTTCAAAATAACATTATCTGGGGGATTAAAACAATAGATCAAACGCCCACCCAATTAAACTAAAATTTCATATATTTTAACATCCTTTTTCAAACTCATCTCCAACAAGTTAAAACAAACAATTAGTTCTAATTCCCTTAAGAATTTTAGTCTGCAAGAAAAATAAATTTGAAAATCACAAAAGAATAAACACTGAGATTTACAATTATCTCCTGAAAACATATTGTATGGATTTAAAGCTTTAAACGTTTTACATAATCTGACAACAGTGTTGGGCGAGAGAAAGAGTGTAGGTTGAGGAATTTTAACACATATTTCTTTTTGCAGCACTTGTCAACTGTCAAAATTCGTATAGATTTTTGTAGGTATACTCACTTCAGGTTTGCTGTACACATGCAGAATTTCGTATATTTTTCTTTCGTTGCATAAAAATATATCAACTCAGATTCAAGGTTATAAATAGAAATTGCAAAAATATTTAATTAAACTGAAAATATTTAGTAATTTTTTAATAAAAAATCTAGAATTAAAGTTTCCAGTTTTTAGGAAAGTTAATTTTTTAAACATTTCTATACACTCTTCAGTTTAGACTCGCATTTACAATTTGGTTACTTGAAGGCCACACATACTTATAAGCTTGAAAATATTCGATTTTTCATCCATCTTTTTTTTTTATGTTCTATATCCTTAAGGTGATTTCATTTATTTTCAAGTTTATTTATTATTTTACATTAATTTTCAATTGATTTTGTATTTTTATTGCAACAATTACCTTTTTCCTTTAAAATTATTTAAATTTTCTTATTTTAAATTAATATTATTCCACTTAAAGTTCTCATTTATCTGTTCTTTGTCTGACTATTTATTTTAAATCGATTTTTTCCCCGTTGTTTTATTTTAAGTTTTCAACGCTTAACACCAGACTGAATGGTAATTCTTAGCTTTTCTTTAACAATGACATTTTCCACAACTTAAAGCTTTTTTTTATTAAATTTTTCCTTTTTCATTTTCTTGTTTTGTCCACAAATAACAAAAACAACCCCTCTTGGTATTACCTGTTTACATTGTTTATAAATTTAACAGTTCTTGAGCGAAGCGTATAAGGAAAAGGAAGAAGAGTAAGCAGGAAATAAAAGCTCATAGACAAAGCTTTAGTTAGTATAGAAAACTTACATGTATTAAATGTCAGGCAAAGTGATGTGTGTGATAATAATGAGGGTCTCAAGTATTTGGATAAAGGAAACTATTTATTAAAAGCTATAGTAATTAAGGCACACTTGATTTTCAATGCATAATTAGTTATAAAAAGCGTAATTGTTAACTGAATTTGTAAAGATTTGGAAGCATTATGTTCGTAAAAATTACAAAGACAAAAGAAAAGTATTAACCAATTAGAATACAACACCATTTCCTATTGCATTTCTGAAAAATATAAGGCTGGAATACAGAGAAGTCTACAGTCTAGATTACATTAAAGACTAGACTACAGAGTAAACTAGACTATAGACTAGACTTTCGGTTAGGCTATAGGCTAGACTATAGGCTGGAATATGGACTAGATTTTAGATTACGCTATAGACTAGACTATAGACTAGACTAGACTATAGACTAGACTAGACTATAGACTAGACTATAGACTAGACTATAGACTAGACTATAGACTAGACTATAGACTAGACTATAGACTAGACTATAGACTAGACTATAGACTAGACTATAGACTAGACTATAGACTAGACTATAGACTAGACTATAGACTAGACTATAGACTAGACTATAGACTAGACTATAGACTAGACTAGACTAGACTAGACTATAGACTAGACTATAGACTAGACTATAGACTAGACTATAGACTAGACTATAGACTAGACTATAGACTAGACTATAGACTAGACTATAGACTAGACTATAGACTAGACTATAGACTAGACTATAGACTAGACTATAGACTAGACTATAGACTAGACTATAGACTAGACTATAGACTAGACTATAGACTAGACTATAGACTAGACTATAGACTAGACTATAGACTAGACTATAGACTAGACTATAGACTAGACTATAGACTAGACTATAGACTAGACTATAGACTAGACTATAGACTAGACTATAGACTAGACTATAGACTAGACTATAGACTAGACTATAGACTAGACTATAGACTAGACTATAGACTAGACTATAGACTAGACTATAGACTACACTATAGGCTACACTATAGACTACACTATAGACTACACTATAGACTAGACTATAGACTAGACTATAGACTAGACTATAGACTAGACTATAGACTAGACTATAGACTAGACTATAGACTAGACTATAGACTAGACTATAGACTAGACTATAGACTAGACTATAGACTAGACTATAGACTAGACTATAGACTAGACTATAGACTAGACTATAGACTAGACTATAGACTAGACTATAGACTAGACTATAGACTAGACTATAGACTAGACTATAGACTAGACTATAGACTAGACTATAGACTAGACTATAGACTAGACTATAGACTAGACAATAGACTAGACTATAGACTAGACTATAGTCTAGACTATAGTCTAGACTATAGACTAGACTATAGACTAGACTATAGACTAGACTATAGACTAGACTATAGACTAGACTATAGACTTGACTATAGACTAGACTATAGACTAGACTATAGACTAGACTATAGACTAGACTATAGACTAGACTATAGACTAGACTATAGACTAGACTAGACTAGACTATAGACTAGACTATAGACTAGACTATAAACTAGACTATAGACTAGACTATAGACTAGACTATAGACTAGACTATAGACTAGACTATAGACTAGACTATAGACTAGACTATAGACTATAGACTAGACTATAGACTAGACTATAGACTATAGACTAGACTATAGACTAGACTATAGACTAGACTATAGACTATACTATAGACTAGACCTTAGACTAGACTATAGACTAGACTATAGACTAGACTATAGACTAGACCTTAGACTAGACTATAGACTAGACTATAGACTAGACCTTAGACTAGACTATAGATTTGTCTATAAACTATAAAAAAGGAAAAGTTCCTATAGAAAAGTTTTTAGAATCAGTTTAAACTTGAAAAAGTTGTCTGACTGTGTTTCCTATAGAAAAGTTATCTCACTCAGAGAAACTTTTCTTACAGAAAAGTTGTCTGAGTTTGAGCCATTTTTCTATAGAAAAGTGGTCTGAATCACAGACATTTTCTGCTTATTGGAAGCAACTGAAATAATAATTTCCTCATTACTCTTTAATTGTCATGCGTTAATTCGATACATCACACTACATTATCTCTCTCTCTCTCTCTCTCTCTCATCCTCGCATCACAACATGAAAACAGTCATAAAATAACAAACATTTGAATATAATAAATAAATTCTTATGCAGTCAATAAATTTCAAACATATTTTATATCTTAAGATTCTTAAATGAAAATGAGCTTTTTTTTAGATTATAAAGCACTTCCGTATTTTATTGTGAGCGATAAATTTACATTGTTTTCTGCAACTAGTTCTTTTATTGAGTGTAGCGAAAATGTTTCAGTCTGTACAAAACGTTTGACATAAGGCCTTAAGCTTTGTTAATAGTTAATATATAAAATGGGATTAAATGCTTTTGGAATTGGGTATGAAAACTTAAAAGGGGCGACTGAATAACAAGTACTCAAGAACAAAACAAAATGGCAGCAACAAGTGGATGTTGGGGGAAAAATGTGTTTGAAAAGGATTTTTTTGTTTTCGTTGAAGATTTTTTTAAGTCAGAATATATATAATTTAGTATTTTTTACATAATTTTTTAATTTTCTTTATTTAATTATATTTAATAAATTACTTAAATCTTATAAAATCACAATTTTTCGATAATAACGGAATTAACCAAAGTAATGGGTCAAACCCAAACCACCGCCATAGCTCGTTTGACCACTGAAAGGGCCACTAGTCCATTTCGAAGCAGAACCGGTTAAATCCAAACGTGTATTACGATCTAGAGAAGACCACAAATTAGCCTTACCAGCCAATTCCAATTGACGTCCAAAATTGGGTATATTACTTTGAGTCAAACTGGCAGTATGACCATTAATATGCGAATATTCTAAACCATGACCATTACGTTCGAATTTAAAGCCATTGGGCAAAGTATTATCCGATTTAAAGACATTAGCACCGATTTTATGATCGCCAATATCGGCACTGATGCTCTTGGTCAAAGTATCGCTTATGCCGGGTATATGTTCTTTGGTAATAGCTGCACCAAAACCATTGCTGGAATTAAATAAAGGAATTGTTTAAAAAATGATTAATTAAATGGTTTTATAGGTTTTAATAACAACTTACTTATTGTAGGCTAAGGTGCCACCAGTGACCACAGGACCTCCTTTAGTATTACCCGCTGCAAAAGCTTGTCCTATAAGATTGTGTTCGGGAGTACCAATTCCCTGAGTAAAATCTACTTTGGCATTATTGCCGCCAGCAGGATTAGTTGATATTTTACCACCCAAATCTCTACGCACTCGTATAGGGCGTGGTGGTTGGGTAGGTGGTGGATAATAGGGCAATTTTTGATAATACACACGTTGAGGATAAGCTTCTATTAAAGCACCCAAAAGCGCTACAGCAGCAATAGTTAAAATATACGATTTCATTTTGTTGATACTTTTGTAGTTTTTGGTGAGAAATCTGAAATGAAATTGTTGTCTTGTTTGAGTTTAATCTGTATTTTTATACGTTTTTTACTTTATTGTTAAATTAGCCTGAGGTGTTGCTGCTATTCGTCATAGCATCGTTATCAGCAAACAACAGTTGTTGTAGTTGTTGTTATTGCTGGGGAGTCCCAAGCAGCATGAATATTTAGACAGATGTATAGTTGAGAATTTTTTTATTTCTGCTTTTTTTTTCCGTTCCTTTTTAATTATAAATTAGGGGAATAAGAAGTTTTAAGGGGAATTACTATTATTTGATAATTTGTTTACGATTGGAGATGATAGGGTTAAAGTATTTTTAACCTTTAAAGAAGGATTTACATTTTTAATTGTCTGGATTATATACTAGACTATAGTCTGGACTATAGACTAGAATATTGTCTGGTATATACATACTATAGACTACATTATGGACTAGACTATAGACTAGACTATAGAATAGACTATAGACTAGACTATAGAATAGACTATACACTAAACTATAGACTAGACTATAGACTAGACTATAGACTAGACTATAGACTAGACTATAGACTAGACTATACACTAAACTATAGACTAGACTATAGACTAGACTATAGACTAGACTATAGACTAGACTATAGACTAGACTATAGACTAGACTATAGACTAGACTATAGACTAGACTGTAGACTAGACTATAGACTAGACTGTAGACTAGACTATAGACTAGACTGTAGACTAGACTGTAGACTAGACTATAGACTAGACTGTAGACTAGACTATAGTCTTGACTATAGACAATACTATAGTCTTGACTATAGGCAAGACTATAGTCTTGACTATAGACTAGAATATAGGCTTGGCTATAGACTAGAATATAAGCTTGGCTGTAGACTATACTAGTCTTGTCTATAGACTAGACTGTAGTCTTTTCTATTGACTAGACTGTAGTCTTTACTATAGACTAGACTGTAGTCTTTACTATAGAATAGACTATAGGACTATAGTTTCGACTATGGACTGGTCTATATTCTTGACTATGGACTGGTCTATACTCTTGACTATGGACTGGTCTATAGTCTTGACTATAGACTAGACTATAGTCTTGAATATAGACTAGACTATACTATTGACTATAGACTAGACTATAGTCTTGACTATAGACGAGACTGTAGTCTTGAATATAGACTAGACTATAGTCTTGAATATAG